ATGGGATGATGGCAGGGTGCATGCAATGCTCCTTTCAGTGAGTCTCGGCTTCAAGTTCTGGCATCATGGTCCCATCAGTCTGTGTATCCAGCACTGCCCCAGCCCTCTTTCTACCCCTACTGGGCACTCCTAGCTCCTGGTCACACTCCATTAGTCTCTCAAGCTCTATGTTACAGCAGTACCTGTCTCCCCAATGATTAGCTCAGTGTCTGAACCCTGGGAGCGGGCAGCAAGGCTGTGCCAGTCTGCTCAGACTCTCTCAGGTTCATGGTTCCAGCAGTGCCCAGGGTAGAAAGCAACAACTACCTCCCTGGTGAGTATCTCAGTTTCCAGATCCTGAATCGTGCTTGTGGGCCATCTCATCTTGCTAGTCTCTTTCTGGCTCATAGATACTGTGGTGTCCAGTTGGGAAGCAATAGCTGTCCGCTTAGTGAATATCTCAATTCCCGGTCCCTGGGAGTCAGTGGTAGAGCCACATTGCCACCTGCTAGTCTCCGCCATAGTCACAGTGTGGGATGGGGGTACAACAGCTGCCTCTTCTGTCAATATCTCTCGTCCTGATTGCAGGACCCACAGTAGGGCATGCAGTTTGGCCCATTTCAGCAGTAGCAAGTCTGGATCCCCAATGGTGCCCACTTCTGGTGGCTTCTTCTAGAGAAAGATTTTGAAAATTTTTCAAAAAGATGGCATACATTCAAATCTTCCCCACCCACTGAGCTGGAAGCATCCACTCCTTGCACAGACAGACAGACACTTGCACCACACGTACACATGCAAGTAGATGTCCCCTCACATGTGCTCACTCAGACACACACCTGCACACTCACCACCATTTTCCTGAAACTTGCGTAGGGTATTTTACAGGCTGCTGGGTCCAGGACTCAGACAATATAGTTGGCTGTGTGAGATCCACATGCCATAACCACCACACCCCTGGGTGCCTCAGTGCTATAATTATTAATAAGACTCTGAACTGAAGCAAAACATAGCTAAAAATGTTATTATCACAATTCATAATTGATAAGTTGTTTCTGGTTATCATAGTCAATAATTTAAATTCCCTATAGCACTTGTTTTTGCTATTGCTATTTTTAAGACTTATAGAAGCCTGTTGATCAAGACATAGATTTGCATATTTTGTTTTATAATGTATCAGTGCTTCATTTTTCTCACATTCTATATATGTGTGTACAATTGTACACTGTTGAGAATATCTTTTTATTTAATGTAGAAGTTGGAAAATAATTTTTTATTCTCTTTTGTGCTGTTTATTTTGTATTGAATATCTATAGCTCATTTGCATGCCAGGCTTGGAATTCTTAGATTTGAGTGACTCTCAAGAGGACAAGCACTATTATGTATTATACATATGACATGACAAGGAAGAGAAGTGAGAGGACAAAGTTGTCCAAGTCTTTACGAGTGAGCTGAAATTACTTCAGATTGTGGCTTATTCAGGTTCCCTTGAAGTCAACTCCATGATAAAGATCTCAATATTAGAGGTTTACTGAGACCTGGTCTATGAACAGCACCTGAGAAGGGGAGAAGGCATTAGGATTGAGAAAGGGGTGAGACTGAACTGTGATCAATTATAACAGAGGCCTTAGAAGTTCTCTCAGGAAGCTCAAGAGCTGGGATGGCCCTACAGAATCACCTCAAACTGAAACTGGGGCTGGGCTTTTACCCTCATATCCAAACCAATCACTGGCTGTGGGATTCCCCTCAAGGAAAGAGCATTTGGGGAGGCAGCTCCTTGCAGAGTGCACACTTGTAAGGGGTGTGTTGGGGGAGTCATCAGTCAATAAGGAGGGACGATAGCCTCTGTCCTGAAGGGAATATCTACTTAATGTGACATAGTATCTACGCCAGGCAGCAAAAGTGTAATTGTTTTACTCCTTAGTCTTGGATTTTAAAACCTAAACAATGATTCTACTTAGAAATCACCTGATGGGCTCTAATAATAGTCTATCTGTGTCAGCCTTGAAAGGCATCAGTATATTTCTATGTATTGATTGCATATCTGTGACATGTTTTCTATAGAAATCTCAAAGTGCATCTTTAAGACAGCATTTCAAACACTACACTTGAAAGAAGTAAACAAGAATAATGTAAGAAAACATGTCTTAGGGGACAGATGGTGGTGCCGTGGTATCACCACACTTCTAGACCCACATTAGACAGTCCTGGGTTAATGTCCCAGAGGCTCCCTGTACACATTTAAGATTGTCCAGAAAGTTCAAATCTGCATCTGTACCCTGATTTGGGCTGGCTGAGGCTCAGGGTAAATCACAGTGTGAAAGTTCTGTTGGGAGCACCAGAATCTCCCTCTCTTACACTCTCTCTGTTATAAGAAATAAATAAATTGAAAAAAGAAAACTCTTAAACAGAAATCAACATAAGGATTATGCCAATTGACATCTTATTCACAGTGAAATGATTTCCTAAAAAGAGGTCATGCGAAATGAAGAGAAGCTACACAAAAATCTCCTAAGAAAACAGTCTTTCTGAGAAAGGAAATTGTTTTTAAAAATCATAAAACTATTTTATATTAATAGCCATATTCTCTTACACAGAACATAAGCACAACACTTGAAATTTAATGATTGTAAAAGCCACCAAGACTTGTTTGATTGGGAATCATGAGAACAATATGACAATGTTAGGATGGTTCTAAGTCACTAAAGCTTTTAAATGTAAAGTGGATATAGTTGCATCTCTCCGTATCAAAGAATTTCAAAAAGTGAAGTATCTATTCACTTGGCCAAAAATTTACTCATCTACTCATTCCACAGACATTTATTGAATATTTATTCTATGTCAGGCATTGTTGCAGGATCAAGGGTCAGAAAAGTGAATAAGAAGTACTGCTTTTCATATTCCAAGTCTTGAGTTTCTCTTTTCTCTCTTAGCGAATCCATTGAAAAACTAAAAGTGCCCTTCTACTGTGAGTGGAGACTATTTCATTGGCTCTTTAGTTTGGAAACAGTCATGTGCTCTGATTTGGCCAACAGAAGGAGACAGGTAAAACTAATGGTATATTAGTTACAAACCTAGGACTCAAGAAGTCTTTCCTCTTTCTACTCACCCTTTTTCACCTCTGGACAACACAAGAAGAACATATCTGGACTCGTTTTCTTATTGCAGTAGAAGGTAGGACACTTGGAGACCAGGCATCCCTAACTGAGCTCTTACGAAATCAGCTACCTCTAGCCAACTCAGAGTTTTAGAAACAAGTAAATGCTCATTTTCGTGTGCCACTGAATATTGGCATTTGTTATGTGAAGTGTTAGCTAATGGTCGCTAACTGAAAAACAAAATACCTTCAGAGATTTTATAACGAAATGTGGTCGAAAAACATGGACTTAACATAGATAGCATCCTTTGCTAAATAACACAATAGAGATAGAAACCATATCCTAAAAGAAATGAGAGGAAAAAATAACTGCCTGAAATGATCGAGTATATGAGCATATAGTTGTGATATTGTGAGAAGAAGTGATATATTAACCTCACATTATAGGGAATGTAGATTCACAGCATTGCTTTTAATATAAACATCGCAAAACTGGCACAAATTCAGGATATAAAAAGGGGTAGGCAACTACTCAGATATCTAATTCTAATTCTGCTAAAAGCAGATCATCCAATAAACAAAGGAAAAACAGCGTTGGTCTTTCAGCCAAGATCATCTCTTGACAGATTGAAAAGGCACTGAGAAAAACTGCTTACCTTGGATTTAATTTTTAACTAACAAGAAATAATGTGTTAGTGAACTTGATTATAGAAAATAATATCCATATCTCAGAAGCCACCACAGAGGATCATTTTTAAAATGCAATTTTCATTTAGAATGATTTTGGATTTATTGAAAAGTGGCAAAGATTATCCAGAAAGCTCACATCTACCCCACATCCCATTTCCACCATTCTTAACATTTTGCATTAATATAGTACATTTGTCACAAGAAACAAGAAGCTATTCATTATTATTTATGAGTTGATATTTTACGCTGATTTCTTTAGGTTTTTTCCTTAATACCCTTATCTGTCCCAAGTTTCTATCCAGTATATCACATTGTACTTAAAAAATATTTGTGCCATAAATATTCTTGATTTATCTTTCATTTTATTAATTATTATTGTTATTTTAATTTACTTCACCAGAGAGAGAGGCACAGAGAGGAAAAGCAAGCTGCCAGGTCCAGGACTTGAACTATAGACACCCATGTCGGAGACCAGCACTCTGATTACCTTGGTACCTGCTGGGCCCAATCACATTATATTTTATTTGTGAAATCTTCAGTTCTTCGTGGCTATGGCAATTTCATAGATATTTCTCATTTCTTTTTATAACCTTGACAGTTTGATGTGTATTGGCCAAGTATTTTACAGAGGAGCTGCAGTTAGCATCTATCTAATGTTATTCTCTTGATGAGCTACGGCGTTATGGGTTTTAGGGAGCAGGACTCTGGAAAGGCACCATATATACTGTCCACACGCCTTGTCACTGTTGATGTTCACTTTGGTCACCTGACTCTGGTTGAGGTAGAGTATGATGTGTTGCTCCACTGTGAAGTCACTTCCTTCCCTTTTCATACTGTGTTACTTAGAAGAAAGTCACTATGTGTGGCCCACACTCAATGACTAGAGAATTGGGAGGAGGAGCAACTCCTTGAGGACAGGGTATTTATATAAATTATTTGGAATTCTTCACAGGAGATTTTTTTTTCTACTGCCACATGTTTATTTATTTATTTAATTTATTATTATTATTATTGTTTATATTCAATTATTGTGTATCATTACCATGTGCCAAATGAATTTAATTGTTTACATCCATATGGATCGATGGATATTTTATTTTGGGATTATATTTCAGTATTGCTTTATTTATTTTGATGTTCAAATTGTCCCAACTTTGGCTTCCAGGTGCTCTTTCAGTTAGCTCCTATCTGCCTCTGACATACCCACTGGGGTATGTGTGTGCGTGCATTTTCTTACCTTCTAGCACTTCGTTGAACAGTGATACTAGAAATCAAGTTCTTTCTAGATGCTGTATGTCTTCATTGTAGCTACAGTATCGTTGCTTCTAGAGCTTATCAGCTGAAAGAACAAACATATTTGTGTAGTTATACAAACTTGTATATATAAATCTATGAATATTTCTGTATGTCATCATCTGTATATGCAGTAAGCCAAACTTTCAGTTCACACTGATGTCTCCAATTCTAATCCACTCTCTCAGGGACCACTCTAGCTTTCACTACATCCCTGTATTTTACTTTCTACTCCAATAACAAGAGTGGAAAGCTCTCACCATTCTTTATGTAATTATTAAATTGTTCTCATAAACACTGGCAGAAACAATCGTATATTTAATGATTGTAAAAGCCACCAAGACTTGTTTGATTGGGAATCATGAGAACAATATGACAATGTTAGGATGGTTCTAAGTCACTAAAGCTTTTAAATGTAAAGTGGATATAGTTGCATCTCTCCGTATCAAAGAATTTCAAAAAGTGAAGTATCTATTCACTTGGCCAAAAATTTACTCATCTACTCATTCCACAGACATTTATTGAATATTTATTCTATGTCAGGCATTGTTGCAGGATCAAGGGTCAGAAAAGTGAATAAGAAGTACTGCTTTTCATATTCCAAGTCTTGAGTTTCTCTTTTCTCTCTTAGCGAATCCATTGAAAAACTAAAAGTGCCCTTCTACTGTGAGTGGAGACTATTTCATTGGCTCTTTAGTTTGGAAACAGTCATGTGCTCTGATTTGGCCAACAGAAGGAGACAGGTAAAACTAATGGTATATTAGTTACAAACCTAGGACTCAAGAAGTCTTTCCTCTTTCTACTCACCCTTTTTCACCTCTGGACAACACAAGAAGAACATATCTGGACTCGTTTTCTTATTGCAGTAGAAGGTAGGACACTTGGAGACCAGGCATCCCTAACTGAGCTCTTACGAAATCAGCTACCTCTAGCCAACTCAGAGTTTTAGAAACAAGTAAATGCTCATTTTCGTGTGCCACTGAATATTGGCATTTGTTATGTGAAGTGTTAGCTAATGGTCGCTAACTGAAAAACAAAATACCTTCAGAGATTTTATAACGAAATGTGGTCGAAAAACATGGACTTAACATAGATAGCATCCTTTGCTAAATAACACAATAGAGATAGAAACCATATCCTAAAAGAAATGAGAGGAAAAAATAACTGCCTGAAATGATCGAGTATATGAGCATATAGTTGTGATATTGTGAGAAGAAGTGATATATTAACCTCACATTATAGGGAATGTAGATTCACAGCATTGCTTTTAATATAAACATCGCAAAACTGGCACAAATTCAGGATATAAAAAGGGGTAGGCAACTACTCAGATATCTAATTCTAATTCTGCTAAAAGCAGATCATCCAATAAACAAAGGAAAAACAGCGTTGGTCTTTCAGCCAAGATCATCTCTTGACAGATTGAAAAGGCACTGAGAAAAACTGCTTACCTTGGATTTAATTTTTAACTAACAAGAAATAATGTGTTAGTGAACTTGATTATAGAAAATAATATCCATATCTCAGAAGCCACCACAGAGGATCATTTTTAAAATGCAATTTTCATTTAGAATGATTTTGGATTTATTGAAAAGTGGCAAAGATTATCCAGAAAGCTCACATCTACCCCACATCCCATTTCCACCATTCTTAACATTTTGCATTAATATAGTACATTTGTCACAAGAAACAAGAAGCTATTCATTATTATTTATGAGTTGATATTTTACGCTGATTTCTTTAGGTTTTTTCCTTAATACCCTTATCTGTCCCAAGTTTCTATCCAGTATATCACATTGTACTTAAAAAATATTTGTGCCATAAATATTCTTGATTTATCTTTCATTTTATTAATTATTATTGTTATTTTAATTTACTTCACCAGAGAGAGAGGCACAGAGAGGAAAAGCAAGCTGCCAGGTCCAGGACTTGAACTATAGACACCCATGTCGGAGACCAGCACTCTGATTACCTTGGTACCTGCTGGGCCCAATCACATTATATTTTATTTGTGAAATCTTCAGTTCTTCGTGGCTATGGCAATTTCATAGATATTTCTCATTTCTTTTTATAACCTTGACAGTTTGATGTGTATTGGCCAAGTATTTTACAGAGGAGCTGCAGTTAGCATCTATCTAATGTTATTCTCTTGATGAGCTACGGCGTTATGGGTTTTAGGGAGCAGGACTCTGGAAAGGCACCATATATACTGTCCAAACGCCTTGTCACTGGGTATTTATATAAATTATTTGGAATTCTTCACAGGAGATTTTTTTTTCTACTGCCACATGTTTATTTATTTATTTAATTTATTATTATTATTATTGTTTATATTCAATTATTGTGTATCATTACCATGTGCCAAATGAATTTAATTGTTTACATCCATATGGATCGATGGATATTTTATTTTGGGATTATATTTCAGTATTGCTTTATTTATTTTGATGTTCAAATTGTCCCAACTTTGGCTTCCAGGTGCTCTTTCAGTTAGCTCCTATCTGCCTCTGACATACCCACTGGGGTATGTGTGTGCGTGCATTTTCTTACCTTCTAGCACTTTGTTGAACAGTGATACTAGAAATCAAGTTCTTTCTAGATGCTGTATGTCTTCATTGTAGCTACAGTATCGTTGCTTCTAGAGCTTATCAGCTGAAAGAACAAACATATTTGTGTAGTTATACAAACTTGTATATATAAATCTATGAATATTTCTGTATGTCATCATCTGTATATGCAGTAAGCCAAACTTTCAGTTCACACTGATGTCTCCAATTCTAATCCACTCTCTCAGGGACCACTCTAGCTTTCACTACATCCCTGTATTTTACTTTCTACTCCAATAACAAGAGTGGAAAGCTCTCACCATTCTTTATGTAATTATTAAATTGTTCTCATAAACACTGGCAGAAACAATCGTATCAACTGTGCTGCACTGCCTTTAGTTTTATGAACTCCACTCACTTCCAGCTATGTAGGTTGGTGCCTTGTCCCCACCAAGTTCAGTGAGTTTTTCCATACATTGTATTACAGGTAGACTCCTCTGTTACATTTATGCTAGCTTACAGTCAACCTCTAGAAAGTTCAAATGCACCATCTATACTCCTATTAGCCTACAGTGCCTGCAGCTTCTGTTCCAGTTCAGCAGTCAAGTATAATTCTGATACTCTTCTCTCTCCCTATTTGTGGGAGGCAGTTTGCCCTACAATCTCAGTTCTCTGGTGTGCCTAAGAGAAGTCAACCATTTCCAGTTTGTTTCGGTTTTTCTTATTTTAAGAACGGGAGTGACAACTTCCAAGCTCTTGGTCATATTTGAGCTTAAGTGAGGAGTTGCAGATAACTTTTCATGACTCGAGATTTCTCAAAGTAGTAGTAGTCCAGTTCTACAGTGGCTGGCTGCATTCTCATTGAATAACAATAGTAATGAGAAGGAAATGCTTGTTACATAAACCTTATAGAATGGTTTCGTATATTAGAAATGGAATTTGGCATAACAATATTTAGAGGGCTTGACAGCCTAGAGATCCAACAATTCTCTGAATTACAATAAGGCAGAACAAGCCAACATAAATGAACAAATTCTTCCACAGTGTCTTTACTAACATGGGAATACCTTAGAACAAGGGTCACGAGAGAAGAGAAAACATCATCTGATTGTCAATCGCAAATCCCTAAATTTAATTCAAGGTATTTATGACCCTTCTGAAGTTAAAAGGAAATTTGTGTGTGGAAGATTGTCCTTATCTTTTATTTTAGAAAGAAATGTTTAAACTTTCAATAGCTGTCAAAAAAGAGATTCAGAGTTTCTATAAAATATTAAGAATTAAAATTTTTGATAGCCTATGTCTAGGTGTATGCAGTAAACAGAAGATATGAACGGTATGGAAATTATAGCTTCATATTATTATAGTCAAATCAGAAGTCCAGTATTCAGTATCTAGGACTGGAGACTGAATGCAACATACATTTCCCTATTGAGTCAGAGGAATGAGTAAGCACATTATTATGCATTTTTAAAGAGATTCAATACATTCCAAAGTCCAGAGGTTTCAGAAAAGGTGACATGTCTATTACACTACAAGAGTTTGATGTGTAGGAGAAATGTGGGTACTCATTTTATGAATAAAAGGAGATGTGGGTGAAAATGTAGGCAGGGTCAGTTCCCAGAAGGCCTTGGGAACCATGCTAAGGATTTGAAGCATTTGGAAATCTATTGAATCTATTACGTTATCATTGAAGGGCATTTTTAGCTGAAAAGAGATGTCCATTTTTATGATAGAAAACTCGTTCTGCACTTACTATGAGGAACATCTAGAGGGTAAGGCAGGAGACATGGACAAAACTAGATTCAAGAAAACAAGTCACATGAGTGCTGAACTAATTCCAGTGAAAAACACGGACCTGAGCCACCGATATGACAATAAAATAGACAGAAGTAATACGAATTCTAGAGGCATTAAGATCGGTACTGGTTGTTGTGAGGAGATGGGAAGAAATTCAGAGTAACTCCTTTTCCTAGCTTGGAAAAATTATATTCCCACATGGGAGTAATTAGGATGTTCTCACGAATTGATTTTTCATATAAAATAATACAATTTTATTTCTAATTTTTAACAATGCTGTATAGACTATATTTAAATATTTGTGGTATGTATGTATTAATTTGCGTATATTAATTTGCATGTGTGCATACATAATTTGCATATCCAGCAATAGTTTGTCTATTTTATTTATATATACTGATGAAAATATAAATGGTGCCCCTAAAGCAGTTTTGCATGTTTCTGCTAAACCGCCCTGAACATGGTTTAAGGGTAAAACACTTGGAAAATATTAAATCTTCATTACTGTATGGAAAAAAGAAAACCTGATTTCCTCTGGCCATGCTTCTCCAGATTCTTTGAGGTGATGGCTGCATCATTGAATATGCTGCACAGCGATGCCACATTGTGAAATATTGATGAGATGTAACTGTGAGGCAATTTGGGG